TTATAGTTTTATTTTTTTAGGATGTATTGATCTCACAATTTCCATGACGATTGTATTTTTTGATTCATTTACTATTTGTGTTTTTTAGTTACAATTTAAAGGAATTCTACATCATTCTTGTAGAATGCCTCTAATTCCATGTTCTTAGCTTGTTATTCTTATGATAGTAATTCAAACAGACTTTGATTTTGTGGAAGTTATACTTAAGGAATATTATGATCAAGGACATGAAGCTAATAGAGATAAATTATGTATGAAAGGGAACATGATGATCAAATGCTTAAAAATTGGGTGGTAAAGTGTGGGATGAGGATGAACAATTGTTACCAATCTTCCACAATGAAAACAATGTTCATTGTCTTATTCTTTTAGAATGTATAATAATCATATTCTTTTAGAGTTGACCAAATTTATTCTTTTAGAATGCATCATCAACATATTTGTATCTTTTTTCATGTATTTTACTTCAAGAATGTATTTTAAATTCATTATCACAAAAGTGTTATCACATGGAAAGAATATTGTAATATTACCATTTTAAAATTGTAATGATATGTTATTGTTCTCGTTCTAAGAGAATGATTTAAAATCCTTTATTATTTATTGTTGATATTCTCAGGGAATATCATTCTAACAGAATGTAATCGGTTATGATTAAAAGTTACATTAGAATTGAAACCGAATTAATTTTAAAAAAATCAGATTTTTAAAATTAGGAGAACCAATAACCCCCAAAATCCAAAAATTTCCTTTATTAAATATCGTTTAATTGACTTAAATACCCTTTTAATGAAATTTGAGAGATTATATGATACATGTTACCCCCATTGTAATATCATAGACCCTCATATCATAATCACTCATTATTTTCATCTATTGCTCTAGAATTGTTCTTACGATCACATAATATATGTCATCCACAGTATAACTAACCCTATATATATATATATAAGAAAAGTGAATATGTGGTTGTCATGTACCTAAACTTAGATATAAAATCTTTTAAACAACGTAGTTTTAAATAAAACAAATCCAATTTCATTTGATCATAATTTTGTTTTAATAAAATACCATTGAATTAAGTTCAATTATGGAATGAAAAAGATCAATTATATATATTTTTATTGCGAATAATTATTGAAGTTTATAGAGAAAATAAAAAACCAATAATTTTTAACAAATATAACTCAGACGTTTGTCTTTCAATTGAAAAACTATATCCAATGATTTTGTGAAAAGTTTGACTGATTTATAACATGTTCTTCTTTAATCTTTTATTCTATTAGTTTTCATTTTGAATTTTATAAGGTTGCTTAAATGGTCACAATTTTTAATGTTTTAAATTCTTAGATACAATGAAGAAAAACAACATATATTTGATCGACTTAATAAGTTACATGATTAAAAAAGAATAGTAAAAGAGATGTCATGATTAGTTTGGATATAAATAGATCAAAACTACATTGTTTGGAGGGTTCTATATATAAGCTTAGGTACATCACAACTACATATTCCCTAAGCCATATATATATATATATATATATATATATATATATATATATATATATATATATATATATATATATATATATATATATATATATAACGTTAGGTTCATGTGAGACCACTATATTTTGTGAGACGGGAGATGCAATCCTAGTCACTCATTGTAAATAAAAAACATTTTTTTTAAAATGCATCCAACGGTTTCACAAAATTAACATGGTTTCAAATGTAATTGAACATATATATATATATATATATATATATATATATATATATATATATATATATATATATATATTATATATATATATATATATATATAGGGTTAGATTCATGTGAGACGACCTAATTTTGTGAGACCGTGAGACGCAATCCTAGTCATTCATTTAGTAGATAAAAAAACATTTTTAAAATGCAAAATAATTGAAAATTTTTGAATTTTTTTTTCAAATATTATTTTCGGAATTTATATTTTCCAAAAAAAATAAAAAAAATACCAAAAAAATAAAAATAAAATACATTTTTTACATATTCTAGTAAAATATTAGAATATTATACATATTTGATAAATCTAGTACAATATTCTAACATTCTAAAGATCATATTAGAATATTTACAGTGTAATATTCTATTAGAATATTTCACGTATTTAGAAAAAAAAACGGCAATTTTTTATTATTAGTTTTTTTGTAATTTTTTTAGGTAATTAAAGGCCGAAAATAATAATTAAAAAAAGAATTTTTGGATTTTTTTTTTTTTTTTTGTATTTTAAAATTATATTTAGATTTGGTCTCATGGTTTCACAAATTTAGCATGATCTCAAATGAACCTGAATCTCTCTCTCTTTCTTATATATATATATATATATATATATATATATATATATATATATATATAATTTATTCCAAAAACGATACATAGAAGCCATACATAATCATTGTTGAGCGCTCGAGAAAATAAATATTGATTTTTTTTTTTTCTGTAACACTTTAAGATATACGGGTAAAATGGTCTATAACAGTTCTTAAATGAATAACGTTTTTTTTAATATCACTTTAAGATAGACCGGTAAAATAGTATATTATAATGTCAAATGAACAATTTTTTTAATATTACTTTAAGATAGATGTGTAAAACGGTCGCGGTTTGTTCACCTTTGGAAAAGAAATAATCACTATTCAACAGTTTCTTAGAACATACATTATTTATCTATACAATACTAGTTTATAACCCGTGAGAACCACTGTTATAAAATTAATTAAACTTTTATAGTAAAAACTCAAAATTATTAATCAATTATTTTAAATAAATTATTAATTAAGAGATGTTTTTATTAGTTATATGAAATTATAATCGTTGATTCAAATAAATATGTAAAATTAATTTTTAATATATATTAGACGTTTTTTATTTGTGAATTAATGAAAACAATAATATAAATTTTAAATTTAAAATTTAAAATAAAGAATGAATACATTGACAAATAACATCACATTAATGATGATTTCTAATAAATTTAAAATTAAGAACTAATAAATTAACAAGTGGCAACACATTATATTAAGAAGTCTAATATAATGACACATGTCAAAAGAACTATTTTTTTTTATTAGTATAGATCTGATCCTTTCAGCATAAAATGGGAAAAAGAAACACACCCCTCTATATATCATAAATTAATATAATTCTTCCCTTTTCAAAAAGTTATGATAAAATTATAAAGATATGATTCTCTTTTAAAAGATGAGGGATCCACTAGTACAGAAAGCATGTGTTGATGTTGTTAAAATGATTAACAGATGCGTGTATTGAACCACATCAAAAATACCCTAATTTAGTGATACAATTCTAAAACCGTACTAAAAATAGCCAAAACCGCCTCAAAAATAGCCAAATTCGCACCAAAAAATAGCCAAACCCGCCTCAAAAAATAGCTAGCTAAAACCAATTAGTAGGTTTTGTCAATGCAGACCATGCTCATGAAACTTCATTTTCTTGTATTTAGGTATGTTCAATGAATGTTTTTTAATCAATGATTCAATCGTAATATTTTAATCTGGTTTTCGAACTTTCTAACTATAATTACATCAACTTGTTTTCCTTAACTGCAGGTCAATCATAGGTTCTAGTTGTCCCTTCTTTGATTTTAGTTTCTCCAAAAAGGTTGGTTTCAATTTGTGCAATTTTTTTTTTCTCTACCAATTAAAAATCTGTTCTTCGAAAATCACTTTTCATCGGATTTGTTTTAATTTCTTTTTCGACAAATCTTAAAACTCATTCTGCAAAAATTAGCTCCATACCGATTAAATGAAAGTCACTGAAGCAAACATCATAAGTCTTTGGACCATTTTTTGGAGATATATCACGGAAGAAGAGACATCTGAAGAGATTCAAAAAAAGAAAGCATCGTTAAAACTTAAAATTGGACATCAATTTATAATTAATAAGAGAAAAATGAAGTCACAAATGCCATTAATGAAAAGAAGATAAATAATGGACAAACCTCACATGCATTTTCAAGCATGAACTCGACAAATCTAATTATGAGAAGAGGCAGCATCTCCAACGTTATATAAAAGAGGGAAACACCGAACGAAAATTCTGAAAAACATGAAAATTTTGAATGAAATTTGGTGGGATCTAGTGTGAAACTAAAAATTCGAAAGAAATTTTTAGAAGAAAGATTAATGGTGATGTTCAATATTTTTTAGTGCAAATTGTTTTTGGGTGCGGTTCAATGTTTTTTAGTGCGAATAATTTTTGGTTCGGTTGTAATTGTTTTTTAGTGTGGTTTCCACATGATCTTTTAGAAAACCGCATCAGAAAATGCTTTAATGGTGCCATTTTGGGAAACCGTACTAACAAAACTATTTTATGGTACGGTTTCTTAATTTTTGATATTGTAGATATTTAATAAAACGTTTTTAGAAAGGACCACATCAAAAAAATAAAAATCACTCGCACTATTAAATGACTTGTTTACTAGTGATCAAACCGAATGGAGCAACTTGGCATCATTTATATAAGTTCACGATTTAATAATCTAAGTGAGAAAATTTCATTGCATAGTAGTCGCTAAATTTATAAACCCAAATATATCATTTCCGTGTGGATCTGTGTTGGATGATGTTTGTCTTTTTGGGAGTTAATATCACATTAGCTTGAGGACCAAAACGTATCACGAAATGGAAAAATATATAATAAAGACAAATTTCCAGGACTTGTCAGTCTTTGAGTTTCTAATTTGGGGCAGTTTATTCCAATTCCTCATCTTTAATTTGTCTCGTAGAAATTTCCAAGACTTTTACGTCTTTGAACCTTAATTTGGTTCTAACGTCATGGAAATTAAGTATTGTATTCTCCACATAATGAATCCTTCCTCTTCACAGTCAAGAGTTTGAGACTATATATACAAGTGATCGATCATGGGGGAGGCAGTTCATATACGCATCAACACAAATAAGAAAATATCAATATTTACATCTACGTACATCATGCATCCTTGTGTTTTTACAATTTTGTCACTTATGATGCTACGCCTTGTGACAGTATATGGCTACCACCAATTGGTAGCGGTGGAAGGAGGAGGAGGAGATGATACTAATGGTGTTATCAGAAACAAGTGTTTGGATATGGAGAGACATGCTCTGCTTCTTTTCAAAGCTCCCCTTCAAGATCCTGATGGCAGTCTCTCAACATGGAGACCTGATGAACATGACTGCTGTCAATGGAAAGGAGTCACGTGCAACAACCAAACAGGTCATGTTACAGAGCTTGATATCAGTGACTATAATCTTGGAGGTGAGATTAGCCAATCATTGCTTAATTTAAGCTATTTAAACTTTCTTGATCTTTCCTACAATTCTTTTGGTGGAACCATTCCCACCTTCTTTGGTTCCATGACTCGATTAACAGACCTAAAACTCAACTCCAATAATCTTAACGGAACCATTCCCAGATGCATTGGTTCCTTGACAGAATTAAGGCACCTTGACCTTTCTGCTAACTCTTTTTATGGAATCATTCCTCCAGAGTTTGGAAATCTCACCAACTTGCAATACCTTTACCTTGGAGTTGTTGGCAGATGTAGAGTTGAGAACCTACACTGGTTGTCTTCTCTATCCCATTTGCAGCAACTTGGGATGGATGGGATTTCCCTAGCCAAACAAAATCATTGGGTAGATGTAATTTCAAGTCTCCAAAGCCTATCATGGTTAAGTTTAGATGGATGTGAGCTGTCACAGGTCATGTATCCATATTCTTCTTCATTTCTCAACTCTTCTTCTTCATCTATTGAAGTCCTTTATCTTGGAAACAACAGTCTCACCTCATCCATGTATCGTTGGTTGTTCCCATTAACCACCAATAAGCTTCAAATCCTTGATCTCTCTAGCAACATGTTAGATGGGATACCCAAATATCTTGGTAACCTCTGTAGTTTGGAAAGTTTGAGCTTTGCTAACAACTCTGCTGTTGTCAAATTTCCTGGTTTTCTGTACACCTTGTCTGGATGCACATCACTTACATTGCAAGAATTGGATGCTTCTTATAACCAGTTTATAGGGCCATTGTCTGATGACATCCAAAAGTTTTCATCCCTAAGACATTTATGGGTATCTCATAATCACTTAAATGGCATTATAAGTGACAAAGTGTGGGAACTACCCATGCTTGAAGAGATTGACGTTTCTTCCAATTCTTTTAGAGGTGCCATCTCTAAAAACATTGGAAAGTCGAAGGCTTTTGAGATATATCTTTCAGAAAACCAACTCCAAGGAGTTCCTTCCACAGATCACATGTCAAACCTTTCTTATGTACAGCTTATTGATATGAACTCTTGCAATCTAGGGCCTCATTTCCCCAAATGGGTTCAAACACTGAGAAATCTCACCCGTCTTCATATTGCCAATTCCAAAATTTCAGACAAAATTCCTATGGAGTTTTGGGACACATGGCCTTCTCAGTTAAGATATTTGAATCTCTCTTCCAACAACATCAGCGGTGAAGGACCAGATTTATCATCAAATTTTGACAACGGTTCAGTGATGGATTTGAGTTCCAACAGTTTTTCTGGTCCACTATCGAATGTCTCTTCCACTTTGGCATTGTTAAACCTTTCCAGAAACAAATTCAATGGAGGAATCTCTTTTTTATGCCAAATGGTTGGTGGGTTTTTGGAAGTTCTTGACCTCTCCCATAACCTTTTCACGGGAAAACTTCCAGATTGTTTGTGGCATCTCAAACTACTAAAAGTCCTTAATCTAGGACACAACAATCTATCTAGAAGACTTCCTCCCTCAATTGGATATTTGAGAGAACTTGAGGTGCTGGATTTATACAAGAACAACTTTTCTGGAGAATTGCCATTATCCTTGAAGAATTGCACGAGTTTAAACTTGATGAATTTGGGGGCCAACAAGTTTTCTGGTAATGTGCCTGTTTGGATTGGGGAAAACTTATGGGGGTTGTATGTTCTTATCCTAAGATCAAACAACTTCTTCGGAACCATCCCTTTACAGTTATGTTATCTTGAAAATCTTCAAGTTTTAGACTTGTCAATGAACAATCTCCAGGGAACCATCCCCTCATGTTTGAATAATCTTACAAGCATGGTTCGTGAACGATTCTTACCACCACCACCACCAAACACATATTCCATTTTAACTAACTGGATAATAAAAAAGTCAGGAAATGGTTATTCAAACTCTAGCGAGTATGTTGACCATGCAACGATTGAGTGGCAAGGAGATGAACGTGAATTCAGCAGAAGTCTGAGATTGTTGAAGAGCATTGACATGTCGAGCAACAATTTAACAGGACAAATCCCATATGAACTTACCGATCTCTATGACTTAATTGCACTCAACTTATCAAAGAACAGTCTTCTTGGAAAGATTCCATTGAAAATTGGTCAAATGAAAAAACTTCTAGTTTTGGATTTATCTAAAAACTTCTTTTCAGGAGGGATACCATCAAGTATGTCTCAAATGAGTTTATTGAATTACCTAGACATGTCATTTAATAATTTGTCAGGGAGAATCCCAACTAGCACTCAGCTCCAGTCTTTTGAACCTTCAAGATACGAAGGAAATGCAGGACTATGTGGACCTCCCGTTTCCAAAAAATGTCCAGGAGATGAAGAATCAGAAGTACCATTGGTGATTGGTAAAAGCAAGGGTGAGGGGGAAGACGTGGATGAAGTTTGGAATTGGTTTCACATTGGTGAGGGCTGTGGTTTTGCTACTGGATTTTGGATAGCATGTGGAGCTTTACTTGTCAACAGTCATGGGAGACGAGTTTTTTTTCACTTTTACGATGGCGTCGAAGATTGGGTTTATGGGAAGGTGGCATTGTTCATTGAAGATTTGCGGAGGGTTGCATATATGTAGTTGTCTATATATTTAGTGCTTCTTTGTATCATGTATGATTTTTTTTTTTATAACCTATAAGTGTTCTTATTTTGGACTAAAGGTGTAGTAATGTAAGACCTTGCATGTTTAAGTTGTATTTTGTAGGGTTTCTAAGTGCCCTTTATCAATAAATTTCCCACCAACACCATGGGTGGCTATTTCCCTTGGTTGCATGAAAGAAGGTGCCCTAGAAAGTTTTTTTTTTTTTTTCCTCATAAGGTTGTGAGGAGTGTAGCAGGAAAAGCGCACGGGAAACGAACCCGCACCTCGGAACACCACACCAATGGTGTGGGAAATGTGGTGTGGGAAGGGGGTGAGGCGAATGCTCCCTGCATTTTCTCTCCTCCTCTGATTGGCCAGGCTTTGTTTCTGTTTTTTTTATTAAATTATAATATTATATACCTACTAAAAAATTATAAAAAATATATCAAAATTCATAGTTTTTAATTCGAATTCTTGAACATCAGTCACAGTACAGATATTCTCAGGAACTGGACTTGGATCCCTTCAAGTCAAAAAAAGTAAGCATTTTTTGAAGCAAAGTTTATTGCTAAATAAATAAAAACGTACTTTTGTTTCTAAATATACTACAAATAGATGAATGAGAGTGTGTTGCTATTTTTGGCATTCACTTATTTTTCTTTTTTAAGCATGGTTAGGCCTTGAACAATCTCATCTTAGCTTCTTCCTATTCCAGCTTCTTTCTTTCTTCCATTTCCCTTTGCATTTCCTCTTCATGTCTCACCATGCTCTCTAACTGAAACGGTTTGGGTTTCGTGCATTGTTTTTGGCTCTAGTTTAGGAGGAACTTTTATATTAAATTCAAGTTTATCCATATAAATTCATGTCTTTTAATTTAATTTCATTCCATGTATACGTTACATTATAATGTTTGTAGCCCAGAACAAAAAAAAGACTAAACTGACACTTAATCCAAGAACATAATCCCCTTGCTTGAAATAAGCAGGACTCTTTGCAACTCTCCATTCAGCAGTACCCATATCATCTGTACACCAATCCATGAAATCTCAATTGCATACAATGTACAACTCTGTAATTCATATCATGTTAGTTTACTACAGCTAGATATAGTAATATTATCAATATGTGAGTATATATAGAAAAGAAAAAATCTGCCACACAAATCCAGCTTACAAGAAAGCCTCAAATGACAACTAGTTCTCAATGCCCAATAATTCAACACTTGTCCAGAATAACAAACTCATTCAATAATAGATCTTACAACAAGCACAAATCCATTATATATAACTAGCTACATGGTAAGGAACAGTTTTTAGGTCTGTAGATGATGTTTATGAGTAGATGTCGATTGAATATATTCACACATGTTGAATGTGATGCCAGCTGTGTCCCTCCTCCAACCGTACCAACCTGATAAAATAAACAAACATACATCAAGTCAATGACCATTTTACCCTTCACACTGTTGTATTGATTTTATTTCTCAAAGTTCTTAGTTTATCTCCGCTCCCTTGCCGGGAAATCGAATAGACTCCTCCACTTTCTCCACCATGGTACAACCCTCTAAAGCACAGAATCAAACAAGGTTGCAAACCACGATACACTCCCATGAAGAGAGGCTTAATCAACTTAGCGACCAGATGAAAGAGATAACAGGCTCTGTTCGTGCTTTGCAGACTCTAATGACTGATCTACCCAAGTAGATGGAGGCAAAGATGGAGAAAATGCAAGCAAACATCCAACCCTCGACTCCCTCACAATCCAAACCGACGTCTGGAAGTACAGGGTCTGCGTCCGCCCCTGCTAAACCCTTCAACTTGCGATCAAGCAATGGAGTATTTCCCGGAACGTCGAAGTAGCACTAGGACGACAACCGGAGAAACCAAATTTCCGTCGCAACTCAGGTACTACGCATTTGGGTTCTCCTCAATTAAAAAACTCCGAGTCCTCGTCCATTTACCTAGTCCATTCATAAGCCTAATTACTCCATGGGGTTTTTGAGTCCGGCCCATACCTGCCCACCTAATAAGCCGGGTCCCACAATTATAAATGGGATCCCTAGAGGCACTTAGCTTGTACGGAATGGGAAGACAAAAGGAAACGAGGGTTATATTTCAAATGAGGATTGAAGTACTCTCCCTACCATAAGTGTGCCAAAAGAGGCCTAGGCATCCTTCAGACAGTGAGACTCTTGACGAAGACCGAGAGGCTTGTCGCGTTGAAATCAGGGAAGAGGACGAGACCATCGAGGACGAGTGCTCCTCTCTGGAACCATGGAACAAACCCCGCAATCAACTATCAAACTCACAAGTGCAATTAATGGCTTCTTGGTCTTAGTTCTTGTGGATAGTGGTGTCACTCATAATTTCTTGTCAAAGCAGGTCGCCATCTCTCTCGGGTTAATTATATCATCCTATGGGCATATATGTATCAGAATGGGGGATGATAGAAAGGTTTGGATTAAAGGCTATATTTTTGTCATATATATGATCTTTATTCGTTTGTTATAGTTTCCTAGTTTAATCCTCTTTTCTAGCTAGGTTTTCTATTTATAGATCGGCTGTATCGTTTTTCTAAATCAATGAAACATAACCAAGTTTAGCTTATACAGTTTCTTTATGGTATCAGAGCGGGACATCCGTACCTGATTATCAAATCTCCATGCCACCATGAGCGGAGAAAAGACCGATGGTAGCAAGACGGCGGAAGGCGAAACCATTGACACCAACTCGCCGTTATACATTTACCCATATGATTATCCGAAGCAGATGCAAGTGAATGACCTATTAAACGACAACAACTACAATGAATGGAAGTAGGAGATGAATAACTTTCTCTTGGCGAAAAACAAGATGGGTCTCATCGACGGGACTGCCAAGAAACTGGAATCGAGCTCGCCCATGTACATGGCTTGGATCCGAGCTAACGCCATGGTCAAGGGATGGCTAACCACAACTATGGAAAAGGAGATCCGCACAAGCGTGAGATATGCTAACGCCTCCTCTGGAAGGACCTTGAAGAATGGTTTGAGAAAGAAGGCACACCAAGGGCATATGAATTAAAACAACTGCTAAACACAACCCGACAGGGAGGTATGTCTATTTCGAACTATTATACCAAATTAAGATCCATCTGGGATGAACTTCAAGTTGTATTACCTACACCACGGTGTAAGTGTAGTGGCTGCAACTGCTCAATTGGAAAACAATTGAATGAAGTGAAAGAGAAAGAAAGAACCTACGGATTTTTAATGGGGCTCGATGACGAATTCACTGTTGTTCGAACTCAAATCTTGGCCACGAAACCTGCATCATCTCTTAGTGCGAACTATCATTTGGTTGCCGAAAACGAACAACAAAGGGCGATCACCTGCGGATCGAGAAGGCCAGGTTCGGAAGCCGCTGCCTTTCAGGCACACTACAACGCAGAAAAAACGCAGCGACAATCTCAAACTAAACAAAATAATCCTATGTCGTATAAACCGAACGCCAAGGCCACAAGAATTGATAATGAGAAGAAAGAAAAGTGCAGTTTTTGCCACAGGGAAGGACATGCAAAGGAGGGATGTTTTAAACTGAACGGTTATCGTGAATGGTGGCTTGGAACGAAGAACAAAGAAAAACCAAAGGTTGCGTGTGTGGAGATTGCTGCCAGTCCTGTTCCCGGTCTGACGGGTGAGCAGTATCATATGTTCGTTACCCACTTCAAGGACAACGGAAGTGTGACAGAGAGCGGATCACAACCAAGGGCAAATATGGCAGGTAAGGTTAATGATTCTGATAGTTGGGTGGTCGATTCGGGAGCCACCGAACACATAACCTATAAAAGAGACTTTCTTAGAAACGAGACCCACAACCTAAAGGGTACACATATTGTCGTTCCCATTGTAGAAAAGGTGCCCGTTTTGGGTGAAGGAGACCATGTTCTTGCTGTAGGAATTAGAATCCGAGGAGTTCTACGCATACCAGATTTTAACTATAATCTTCTTTCGGTTGGCAAATTGGCCGATGAGCTTAACTGTACTGTCACTTTCTTTCCTGATTTCTTTGTTATGCAGGAATTGGGGACGAAGCGCTTGATTGGAGCGGGTAATCGCATTGAAGGATTGTATCACATGGGGGCAATGAAGACAAATAAAGCTCTCCTGACAACCTTCGAGACTTGGCACAAGAGACTTGGACATCCTTCACCCAAGAAAGTTTCTCGTTTAAATTTTATTCCTTCCTATAAGAACAATTTAAATTGTGATGCTTGTTTGAGAGCCAAACACACTAGACTACCCTTTCCTACTAGTGAAATAAAAACAAAATTTTGTTTTGACATGATACACTGCGATATATGGGGGAGGTATAGGACTCCCTCAACAAACAAGGCTTTTTATTTCTTGACCATTGTGGACGACCACAGTAGGGCAGTTTGGACTTTTTTACTAAGACATAAAAATGAGGCAAGCACATGCCTCATGCATTTCTGTAAAATGGTCAAAACACAATTTGAAAAGCAAATTAAACATAATAGATGCGATAATGGTGGTGAGTTTGTTTCTAATACCATGCATGACTTTTATGCCAAAGAGGGAATCGTGTTAGAAACCTCTTGCCCTTACACCCCACAACAAAATGGGGTGGTGGAGCGCAAGCATCGCCATCTTCTTGAGACCACGAGGGCCTTAAGATTCCAAGCTAATTTGCTTAAGAGTTTTTGGGGTGAGTGCATCTTGACCGCCACGTATGTGATAAACTGAATGCCTTCAAAATTCTTGCATGGATCCACACCTTATGAACTCTTATTCAAAGAAAAGCCTTCCTATGAACACATGAGGGTTTTAGCTGTTTAACTTATCATCATAGTGTGGAAACGGGTGGTGATAAATTTGAACCACGTGGAAGACTCGGGGTATTTGTTGGATATCCACAAGGTACCAAGGGTTATAAAATCTTTGATCTAGAAAGCAAGAGAATCATTGTTTCCAGAGATGTCTGATTCATTGAGGATAA